ATACCAGGAGCTGGTGCGCACGAATGAGCAAACCCTCCGTGAATCCTATTCATCAACCTTGGCACCTCTTCGCGTCGGCGAAACTCGTCCGGTCACCTGTACCAAGTAGTCGCTACAGGTTATGGCGCAGGGGTTATATTAGCAGCAAAAGATTTCTTTGTGATGGGACCAGACCGCCGCGACTTGCACTGTATCGTCCTGGAACAGTTCGCTGTTGATGTGCTCACGAATAAGCGCGGTTTCGACCAAACCCTCGTATCTATCAAAGACCTCGTCTGGGTCTATTCCGTCACACCGACGCGTGCCGCCTTACAGGACCTGGCAGCTACCCTGACTGCATCCCGCATACCGCGCGCCACTGCGCTAGAGAGTTCGTCAAGTATTTTTTCCGCGTAGATCGCTTCGCTCTTATAACAATTCACGTAAATCCCAACCCCAGCGTAGTGATTGTGGTGAACCTTATCTGGCATAACGGCGAAATTAGGAAGTTCTTGGCAGTCTTTGATGGTGCTCCCGAGGCGGTAACGGTCACACCTTCATTGTGCGCTCGTAATCTCGAGGATCTGTATCAGTATTCACTGGTACTGGCGCAGACCCGCCTCAACTCTTCTTGTGCTATCCGCTTTTCAGAGCCACCCGTGTCGCAGGATGCACGAGACGAGTTGTGCCAGTTGGTTCGCCGCTTTTTACCTGTAATACGAGCGAGGCAGTTTCCCCTATGCGTGTGATGAACCTCACTCCCGCCGACAAAACGTGGCTAACCGACCGCGTTAACGACTTTGTCAGTTATCGAACTGAAACAGAATCGTCTAAGCGACGCATGGGACAGCTCTTCAATGTATCTTGCTCCACGCTCGCAGCCTTTAGCCACGATGCACGATGATACCACCGTGCGGTGGGTCACACTCACACTGCCACCGGGTAATATGTGCCCCATCCGTTTCGACTTCATGTTGAACGGTATGGCGCACGAGGCAGGTTGGGCTAGAGGCCGTATGGTGGATTTCTGGGTAGCTGGCGCCGAACAGACCCCCAAAAATGCGAGTCGACTCCACCTTTTTCAATGTAGATAACAAACAACTGTCGATACGCATTATGGGCTTCACCTGGAACCACGCGTCTCTCACCGCCTTAGTCTCCGCGCACGGCCAGACGCGGGACGACCATCGCGTTATTGACGGCTACGTTCGCCTCGGTAAGCTCGTAAAACGCAGCGAATGAAGCCGTCTCCAGGTTGCTTCATATCGTGGAGAGGGTGCGGCCGGACACCACAGGACACCGCATCCTGGATGCTGTATACCGCAAGGTGTCTGCACCTCCTCCTCCTCCACCCGCAGGGGCGGGCCCTCGCGAAGCCCCTATTTCTCTACCGGATACCTTCCGGACGAAACATCAGACAATCACTCTTACAGCGGATCAATGCGCGGCATTTGCGCTTGCGATGGCAGCTCATCCCATTTCCATTATCAACGCTGCCTTTGGCACCGGGAAAACACTTTTGGCCGCTATTATCGCTGCCCATTATGTTAAGCGTCGGATGGGACCCATAATAGTCACTACTACCACGAACAATGGGGCAGCCCAATTCACCAACACAATACTTAACCTTGCAGGACTTCCTCGATGTACGCCTTCTCCGCTACATTTCGAAGACGGCGTTCCTCGATGACGCGCCCGCAACTCCGGCGGACATCCACGAGATACTAAAATCGCTAGGTAGCCAGTTCGACTCGGCGTTAACTCCATCGGAACGCCTGCTGTGCTCGCGTTTCAGCAGAGGCCGCGTCCTTCATGAGCAGTACGCTAAGAACTACGAGCAGACAATGCACATGTCCGAAAAAGAGATTGAGAAATACATCCTCGCAGAAAAAGAAGTGTCAGAATGCGTTAAGAAGATGGTGACGCTGATGTTCAAGGTAAGACCGCCGGACGTTTTGCTTTTAACCACAGCATCCCTGCTCAATACTACGGGCACCGGCGGAATTTTCAAGACTCACCTAGCCAACCGCAAAATAATCATCGTTGATGAGGCTTCCCAAGTGCCAGAACCTATATTTGCCTGCCTCACGACGCTATTCCCGCACGCCTCGCAGCTTTATGTCGGCGATGTTAATCAAATGCAGCCGCATACCAAATGCCCAAGCGACACCAATCCAGCTCTGTTTGGCGCACGGAGCGTTATGGAAGTGTTGGCTCGTTCGCCGCTAATACCGCGAGCAATGCTAGTTACTACGTTTAGAGCGCACCCCGCACTCAATACGTTGCCTAACATCCTCTCCTATAACGACC